ACTTTAAAACACCCCCTCGCTCTTTTTTCCAGCTGTATTACAGTGTTGTTCTCCACCTACCCATATGGATCCCTTGAGCGGCTGTGGCAGCCCAGCAGCCTCCACCTATACGCACTGCGGTTATTTTCAGGTAAGTCTGTGTGATAGGGTTCATTAAAGATCTGAAGCAGTTCCTCCTTTTCAGCGGGAAATGATGACTGAGTCTCTAACACCCCCTCGCTCTTTTTTCCAGCTGTATTACAGTGTTGTTCTCCACCTACCCATATGGATCCCTTGAGCGGCTGTGGCAGCCCAGCAGCCTCCACCTATACGCACTGCGGTTATTTTCAGGTAAGTCTGTGTGATAGGGTTCATTAAAGATCTGAAGCAGTTCCTCCTTTTCAGCGGGAAATGATGACTGAGTCTCTTTTTGAACGTTAACAGATTTATTCAGTTTAACCTTAGGTGAGTCTACAACAACTTCTGTGGGTTCAAAACAACTAAGATCTGGTAACGGTCCAAATGGTGAGGGCGATAACTCTGTCCGGAAATTGACAGGATTCATGGAGGGGCTGGCCCAAAACGTTCCAGATCAGTGGACTTCCTCAGCGGAGCACTCCAGACTGCGCCTATTGTCCCATAATAAGGGTGTCTGGCCCAATCTCCCTCCGGCGGTGGGTGGTTGAAGGAAGGGTCCTGCCAAATCACCTTAAGCGACCTTGTCCCCGCGGAAAGACCACGACCCTCCATTCTAGAATTCCTGCCGATGTCCCTTTAGACTTGTCCGGGTCGGGTAGCAACCCTCCTACCTTCAAATTAGGGAAGTACTCCAACAACCTGCACATTTTATCATATTCGTATTCTCCTCCCCCCCCCCATTTTTTTCCCTTCCCTTCTTTTTCTCCCTCCTTGTTACACTGATCTGTCTCCTCCCACTTTGTTCCCCTTTATCCTCCTCCCACACGGGCAAAATTAATTCCTCCTCCTCTTCTCCCTCTCTCACTAGACAGATTTCAATCTTCTCTTCTTTCCCCTTTTGATTCCCTTCTTTTCCCTTCCTCCACATTCAACTCCTCTCTTTCTGTTGTCTTCCTTCTACATCTCTCTCTCCCGCTCAGACGTCTCTAGCGGAGGGGACGGCGCGCTCTGTTCTTTCTCCTTTGGGCCTACCGCTCCTTCACAGTCTGCAAGGCGATGTACTGGCCAGGATCCAGGGTGCCACTTGAGACACGCCCAGGGCAATATAGGACTTGTGTTCCTTTGAAAAGCAAACCCTCCTGACATGCCGATTATGACACTCCCCTCTCTGTTCCAAACGCCGCGTGGGAGAGGCACCGTGTGCCCGCTCAGTCGTGCAAAGCATGCCGGACACAATCCTGGGCTCTTGGCCCATATGTCAAGGCACCCACTTCGTTTCCAGGGAGTTCCTTCAACCGCATACCAGCGCATTAAAAGTTCCTTAAACTTGCAAAGTTAGAGAATAACGGGAAAGACTTGTCTTTTCCTGTCTGGTTGTTGTAGAACGAAATGCACCTTCAAAGATTCTGGAAGCAGTTTCTTTTTCGCAAGAAGCGCTGAACTCATTTGGAACGTTAAGCCATTTCTATTTTTGAGTAATGGCTTTGTGTCAGACTCTTGGGTTCCAAAGCAATGTAAGTCGCTCATACATGAAGGGATTTCTCTGTTTATAAGCTTTCTGAAAAATAAACCCTGATGTAAGCCCTGCCTGAATGGAACCTTCACGAGAGCTGTGCCAATATTAAGTGCAATGAGTACCAACATGTGGAACCCCTATTTTATTTTATTTTTTTAAATATCTAGGGGACAGCAGTGGGAGGAGGGCGCTCTTCTTAATTCTGTGAAGTTGTTAATGAAGTGTATTCACTCCGCATAATTTTTAAAAATGGGAAACAAGGCCATGAAAGCCTTCGCGAATACATGGAAACAAAATACATTAATGTGCTATTGGTATACATGTAATAATTACTGCTTTTCTCAAAACCTTTACTCATCATCTCCTAGTATTTAATTTACCAATACACAGAACTTGAAAACAGTGGGTTGACCCTAGAGAATACCCATTGAATCATTGGGATTTACTTAAGGGTGGACCATTCAGCAGTGGGTTCAGTAGATTTCAATTGGACTTTAGTTGGTTTTGGCCCTGTTCTCTCTGTAAATTAAAAACTAGGCACTGTTGAGAAAGGTAAGGCCATAGAACTTCATAGCATACATGTATATGGCTTTGAGAAAACTGTTGTGTTCATGGTATCAAAGGTAAAATATAAATATATAGATACAATAGGACCCCCATATTTGTGGGATCAGTTTCTACCGTTTCACTTATCCGTGGTCTGAAAACCATTAAAAATATTAAAAGAAAAAGCCAGAAATACATATTTGCATTATGTAGTTACCAGAGGGAGCTGTGTATTGTGTTCACTATTATCTGTGGGTTTTCAGCATCTGTGGAGGAGCTTGGAACTGATCCTGCGAATATGGAGGTCCTGCTGTGCAGATATATAGAGAAAGTGATACACGGTAGATTAGATAGAGAGAGAGTTTGATTGATTGATTTGTGTTTGTGGAGAGAGAGGGCAAGAGAGAAAGGGTGTAAGACCTGAACTGTCTCCTTCATGGTAGTGAATGGTGTTCCTGACTGAGCCAGAGAGAGAGAGAGAGAGAGAGAGAGAAAGACTTGGCTGGAGAGGTGTATAGGTAAGATCACGCAGGCATCTGTCCCACTCTTTCATCTGCTGTAGGGATGGTGTGACTCACTCCTTTTGCTGGTGACCAGGCACCGTTGTCCCAGAATGAGTCACCAAACAAGGGGACAGATGCCTGTCTGGACGTTCTTTGAATCATGTCACTAGATCTTGGAATCCTGAGCTAAGTCATCATCCTAACAATGATACAAGGAGACATATGTTCCTCCTCTGGTCTTTGCCTTACAGAACCCAGCAATGCAGTCTTCCTACCCAGTGGAATTTTTGCCTTCCAACTGGCCCTGCAGCGCCTCCGACGAAACCAAGAAGACCGAAGTCAACTTGGAGGCTGTCTTCCAGATTGTTGACGAGATGCACTCCTCCCCCAAGCTGGAAATGGTCAAAGTGGAGCCCGTGGAGAGCCAGGGTCCAGCCTCCCAGTCAAACCGAGGCCAGCAGTTGCTGGTGAACGCGGGCCACAGCGACGCCCCTTCTTCAGGACAAGACAGCCACCTGGAGCCCCTGACCCCCGTGGGCTCAGAGATCACCTCTTTCGTGGTCGAATCCGACCAAGCAATCTCTTGCTCCTTGCCGCAGTCCCCCGAGTTCATCTACACGATCCACACGGCGGAACCGGTGGAGAGCGCAGCGGCCCAAATGGTGCCTCTCCCTGTCGCCTCCCAGCCGCCACCAGGAAAGCTGAAGGAGCAGCTGAACCTGCCTTCGGCCCAGGCTTCTGTGGTCTTTGTCCAGGAGGGACTTCCGTTCGGGCAGGCCCAGCAGGTAGGGAGCAATTGCAGCACCTCACTTGATTGATTGATTGATTGATTGATTGATTGATTGATTGATTGATTGATTGATTGATTGATTGATTGATTGATTGATTGATTGATTGATTGATTGATTGATTGATACCCCGCCTAGCTGAACTACTCGTCCACTCTAGGCGAACTTTAGCCTCCGTCCACCTCAGGGTTCTTCTGTGGTCAGCCCAGGTTTCAGCTAGGATCCAAATAGCTAACTCTGTAATTGTAAATGATTTTGAAATTAAAAGTTTCATAATGCTCATCATTTTGAACCAGCACAAATTTAGGTCACCACAAACTTAACATTCTGATCATGGTATGCTGAGCAGCTTAAAGCGGACAACCCGTGTGGTATATACGGTTTCAGATTAGGATCAAGGAGGTCTCCACTCCAAATCCCATAAAGACCTCAGACCGAACTACTTCACAGTGTGGAAAGGGCAGGGAGGAAAAATTGTTTGTGCCCCTTGAATCCTTTAAAGGAAAGGTAGTTTATCAATATATAATAAAAAGATGCATTATGGAGGGAGGCTTCAAGGAGGCCAGGGGAAATATTGTTTTACATTTTATTTTATATAGCTATTTTATATGTAGAGACTGGGTTTTCTTCGTGTGTTCTTCTATTAGATTATTATTGTTGTAGCTTCGTGATGTGTTCCCGTTACGATTTTGTAAGCCACCCGAAGTAGTGGCCTGGCCACTAGATGGGTGGAATGAATGAATGAATGAATGAATGAATGAATGAATGAACGAATGAACGAACAAATAAACAAACCATAGGTTTTGTTGAAACCAAAACTGTCTGCCACATCAGAATGACTCTTGCTTTGTCAGGGCATCAAGTGTCAGGCGAACCCACCCGAGGCCGTTGTATCTTCAGAGCAAATAGGTTTCTTCATTTCGGAGGTGGGTCCTCTCGGCAAATGTGCCAAGGATTCGGTTTCATCCGCCCAAACCAAATGCCGAGAAAGAAGAAGTAATTCACAGAAGGGCAAATCCCCTGGTAAGGACAGCAGAGCACTGCTGTGTTTATTTATAGGTGCCTAATTATTCATTTAACGTATAAAGGGACTGAATAATCAGTATTCATTAATTAACTGGACACACCAGTAAGTCTGACAATATAGGATGTGGCTTTCCTCTTTTCCTTCTGTCATTTGGAGCTGTTTTCTTCAATGAGGCACCAGTGCTTACAGTCCCAACCCCAGTTTGAAAAGGAGGTTGTAAAGCTGGTTTGGGATACGATGGCTTCCAGCTGACCCTGATATCTGGGAGTCAAAGCCCTGGAAGAGATTGGGAGGGATCCTTTCAGATGTAGCCCAATCTGTTGTCCTGCACTGGATCGGTAAGGCAGGACGCAGCTATACAGAGCTGCTGAGGGCTCACTCTTTTTCTTTTGGGGATCTCCAGACGTGGAGTCAGAGGGTGGGGAAGGCCAGATGCTTAGGAATCAAAACTAGAACAAGAAGCCTTTTCTGTGTCTTAAGACATAGCTGTACCTTCATATACCCATCAAGGCTCTTTCCACTGAAATGCCCTTTCTGTTCTTCCTAGATCTACATCTGCTAGTGGATGTGGCTTGCAAGCAAGAGCACTTTCCAAAAGAAGAAGAATTAAGGGAGTGAGAACTCGGTGGAAAGTGTGCGCAAAGGCCGATCCCCAGCCAGCCGGGGAACAGCAGGGCCGTTTACTCTTTGGGGGACATTTCTGTTGTTAGTAACCGACTCTTTCCGTCTCTGCTTATTTTTCTTTCCCATGTACATAGTCCCATGGTTGTTTTCGCTCCAGCCTTTTTAGTAGGTTTAGATTATTTTACAGGTTAGTTTCATCTGATGTCAGAGCTTGCTTGCCCAAAGTACTTAGAAGCGTGGGGGGAGAGACATGGCCTCTTGATCACAAAAGTAAGTTCAAATCCCTCGGGGAGTTTTCCCAACAGGAGGTTTCTTGTTTTGCACTGGAATGTCTCCACCGGTTAAGCAGAATCCCCCACCCACTCACCCCCCCCTACATGTGTGCACATTCTATTTTTTGGAGCATTTAAAAGAGGAAGGTTTTTCATAAAAACAAACAAAGGCATTGGGAAGTGATGAAGATCCCAGGTCCAAATGGGTGATCAGTTCAAAAGAGGACACCTTGAGGAAACTTATTTTAGGTAAGAACGCTGAGAGTTTTATTCTTCCTTATGTTTGCATCTTTTTACTGGCAAGTCCTGACCCACCTATGAGAAAAGCAGCTGAATAGTTTACGTTAATGGAGCATTCTTCTGTTTTAATAATTTCCTCATTCTATAGAGGCACTTTAAAACAAAGGTTAAGGTATCTGTTATTTTTCTATATTCCTTAGCTTGCAAAGCTATTTTAACTAGTTCTAGATAATTGTATTTATTGACAATAGATTTTTAACGAGCCCCGTCTATGCACTCATATATTTATTTATTTATGTTGTAAAGCTATATATTGCACTAGAATATGTGTGAATGGTACAGCGCACTGAGAATGTGCTTCAAGCACCTTGGCTCAGATTTTTAGAGCCTGCTTTCTGCAGATGTGAAAAGTGTAGAAAGGAATCGTTGGGAAAGCAGATCTGTTATCCCACTTGTATATCCTCCATTCGGAGCTCAGTTATATTCACGATCTCCCAGTAGGCCCTGTGAATGGCAGGATGAACCAAAGTCTGATGAGCAAACTCTGCCAGAACCTCATATGTAGCAAAGCTCTCTGACCAGTAGTGTCGGATCCTTTCCTTTAGAAATGCCATAGCCTGGGTCACCAAATATTCTGTATATTTTGAGATGACCCCCTCCTCCAGTCAGTGTTGGTTTTTTTTTTTGCCCCATTGGTCTGCTTATCAATCCCGTATTAACCTTTGACATGAGCGACCCAGTGGAAAAGAAAGCGCTAGCACAACAGAGACATTTCGTCACGGAGTCTCTCTGATGCCGAATGTGGTTGATAACAGGTGCGCTCATATGTTGTCCCGACCCAAAGCAGCTTAGGAAGAAAAGTTCGACAGCTGACTAACTAACGCTGATCCATATTAGTCTTGCCGATGAGGCTCATTCTTTGTCATTCTGTAGAACAAATATCTGTTAACAGTCCTTTCTGAATAATCAATAAAGTAAGAACTTTCATGTGGGCCTGGACTTTTAAGACTTGGTAATGGTTGCATTTATGATCTTTCCATCTTTGTCGAGACTGTTTTTTATTATTATTATTTTTAAAAGAAGGCCAAGGAGCTGGTTCTCTTGCCATATTCACAGGCACAATGTTTTTAACACTTCAGTATTTATAAGATGGCCGAAGGTATTTCCGCTATCAGAAGAAATCTATATAGTACTATATGAAAGTTGCCGACTCTCGGGGTAGAAGAGCCTTCTCAGTTTTAGCTCAAATGTGTTTAGTCCAATACCAATAAAGCATCTGCATGAAGTGGGCCTCCTGTTTTGCTAGATTGGTAGGAGAAATGCCCAGGTAAACAATGTGGCTTTCGCTTGACTAGTGAATTAAGAGCCATTCATGTATAATGCGCACTAAAATGAAAAACGGCCTTACGTTTCAATGCGTTTTGACATTATTCTTTATGGTATTTAAATTTTAAAGCAAGAATTTAAAAAAAACCAAATACTCCATTTCATCATATACAGAATCTTGTACTTCTTCATGGTCTCCATGAATCGCATATATAGGTAATGTACCGTGTGTGTGTGAAGCCTCAAAACATCCTAGAGTTTAAAAAAACACAGCTCCATTCCATCATATACAAGAATCTTGCAGTTTTCATTACAACGAAAGTAATGGAAGTGCATTCTAAAGTTCATGAAGGCAAAGAAAGAATGCCCATGCAAACAACAATTGAAAACAGTTAATTCTTTTATTTCAGCTTAAGTGGCTTCTTTTTTCCCCCCTATTGAATGTCATGTCCTCCAACGTTGCATTTTGTCCTGAGGTTCTGTACATTCTGGCGTGCCCAACTTTCTAGTAACAGGAATGCTGTTCCCAGCCGGAGAACACGGCATCCTAATTTACAACTTCAACTTCAGTCTGCCTTTGAAGTCGCCCCGTGTGATGCCAGTGGAGAATAATGAATGGATTCCAGGTCTCTGACATCAGCGTGACCTGAAATCTTCCTTGCAGGAGCGCCTGGAGAAAACAACCTTCCGATTGAACCAGAGCTTGAAGGAAAGCGACGGGCCAGCGGTCCTTCCAAGTGGAGAATCAATCTTTGTTCCACCACCAGCCCCACCGTGGCTTTCCAAGGCTGGCCCCTTTCCTCGTTGCCTTTTAAAGTGGATTTGGGGGGAATCCACATCGGTAGGAGAAGATGCCCCCCAAGCACATCCTTATTGTGCCACTTCCAGAGCTCTCCATTCCCACCTTTCGCCCTGCTGGCCACCACGGCTTGGAACACTGGACTTGCCAAGGGCGCGCACGCCCAGGATGTCAGAAGTTAGCAAAAGCTGAATGCAGTTTAGTGGTGGATCAGGAGAGGGAGTTGAGGAGCTCCGAGAACCAGATGGAGGGGGTGGGGTTCTTGCCTTTGGCTGCTCCACCCTCACTTTATGTCAGCAGGTAGAAAGTGCTTGCAATCCCAGGGGAGGGAAGCACAGAGCAGAGAACAGAAGGAGCTCCAGCCACACTGGGTGTTTTTTTTTCTTTTTTCCTTTCCACTTGCAAGGAGCTGATCCAGGAGTGCTTTTTTTCGAGGGGAAAAGAAGCTCTCCCACGGCCTCTGCGGACCTGCCCAAGCTCCAGCTCCTCCCAGCCAGTCCCTGGTGTGCCAGAAGGGTCGCCGGCTCCTTTAAGGCAGGCTTCCGAGGTTGGCTGCTGGATATTGGCTGTTTGGAGTCACTTCTGCCCTTCTCGCTGCCTAGACTTGCTCCTTTTGCCTGCTGGAAGAAGGGGAGCCTCGGCGCAGCTGCTCCGCCTCAAGAGGAGTTTTCAGCAGGGCTCCTGGATTGGGAGGAAGCGTTTGAAGCTCACTTTTGGGAAGTCTGCTTTCAGCCATGCCTCGCCCACGAGCGTTCAGCCCTGGAGTCAATTTTTCCTCTTGATCCAGACTGTGGAATTTCACATTTACCTGTATAGAGTCTTGCTGGAAGTCTCTCTCTCCTCCCTCCCCCCCCCCCCCATCCAGCACACATTTTGATTGGTTGCTCAAGTATTTTTTCTCCTGGGATTTGTAGTAAAGTTTCCAGCTGTTATTTATTCCCCTGTGGATTCTTCAACACAGGCTGGTCGCTACTTTGGAAATACTTTTTCTTTTCTTGATCAAACAAACTCTTTCTCCGACAAGTGCCTCTGATTTGCCCACAGTGGCAAAGGTTTCTCGTGGAGCCGATTTCTTTTTATTGTGTAAGATGCCTTCACTTCTTTTTTCAGCAACTGGTGTCTAAAAGCGGATATATTAATTCCGAAGCTTGCACAGGAATGGAATAAAAAACGCAGGTGTCTCATCTACAGTCGTTTTTCCTGTTTGGGGCCTTTTTGACTTCCGAGAGGTTAAAAAGCATCGGAGAATATATATATTCCTTCAATGAATTTTGGAAGCTACACACTACCCATGGGACGTCGTTTGTAGTGAAAATGGCACATCCGTGGAAGATTCCTACGTAGAAAATGTATTTTAATATTCACAACCAGATGGGTGGAAAGTTGGTACAGCAAGCCAACAGAGGTGAATTAAAAAAAAGGAGCAACTGATGTAAAGATCTGAGTTCATTGGAAAAAATGGTGTATTCTTCTAGTTCCTAAATGGAAGCCTCTCCATGGTGGCCACAGCATTTCAGCATGTGATGCGGATTGCCAAGAAAGACGCAGCACATTTGCAGGAGAACAGAACAATATAAAGGAAAGGCCGCTCGGTGGTCAAAATCAACAGGGGCTACGGCAACCATTCAATGCCAAGCCGTTCTTCGCCTTCTTTGCCATCCAAGGATATAAAAGCAGAACAGGATTGGAGACATACAGATGGTCTTCCATGGGGAACTGTTTCTCTCAGACCAGCTCCGACGTTCTTCCTCGAAGGACCCAAGCGGTCGCCACAACCTACGCTGTTCATGACCCCTTGGTTTTGCTTACCATGTCAGGATTTATCTGGAGGAGACGGAGAAGGAGGACCTGATCCCCTGCAAAGCTCCAAGCCTGGATCCTCGTGGCACGACAGCACCTCTACAAGGAGCGGGAACTAAAGGAGACCAGAAGGAAGGGACGCCAGGCAACGCTTCTCAGCAAGGCTCACGCCGTCCCTCTGGCTCTTGTGTCCTCCACCTTCTTGTTGCCTGAGGTTGGAACCTGCTGAGGGGCCGAGGAGACATTGCTGAGCAGTATGTGTGGCCGGAGCGCGCTGCCGCAGGAGCTGGGAGCATGAGTGCTGGCCCCCGGCTACAGCTGGCAGTCCTCTGGCCTTGGCTGCTCCTGGCTACGCTGCAGATCCGGCTCGGCTACTCGGGACTGGCGCTGGCGGCGGCCATGACCGCCGAGCGGTCCTCGGCCCAGAAGGCCATCATCCGGGTGATCCCGTTCAAACTGGAGCCCCTCACCCTGGAAGGAGTCTTTGCGAGCGTTGCCGAGGTCATGCCGGCTGAAGGGAAGCTCCTGCAGGTAAGAGGGCTTTCGTTTGCTGCCGGTGGTTCCATCCAGCACAGAGGCATCCCCTCGCTAGGGGATCCAGGAACCTTTTAGGTTGGCTAAAGGAAACAGCAGTCTCTCTGATCTGTCTTTGTAAGACTCGATATGCAGGGGCTGAATATCTGAGGCACTCCAGGTGGCTCTTCTTTGACCCTTCTCACCATCCCGACATTTCCTCTCCCCTTGTTATCTTTCATCCCTTAACAATCCCTTCTCAGCCTTTGTGATCTTGGCCCTCGCCCACCCCAAAAAGCCACGTTCTGACGTGATGGCCAGGGGTCACATCTAAGCAGGAGTCATCCCCCCCCCATGGCTCAGAAACATCTGCTTTAGATCTTCACCTCTGGCTCACCGGAGACAGAGGTGCTTCCAGGAGCATCTCCTCGCCGGCTCTGCCAAGAGTCAAGGGGAAGGTCCTGCACTCTGTGGCGTCCTGCAACGGTTCCGTCTGTTGCGTTGAACCGCAGCCGCTGGCCTGGCGTCGTGTGCCATCTTGCCTCACAACCCGTGAGTCACCTCGCCGAGAGACCTCGCATGACTCAAGTTCATTGTTCCCCGGCGGAGGGGCACAAAGCCCGGCCGATGCCGCATGTCCCCAGATCCTGCTGAGAAGCCCTGGGGAAGTCGGGAACTGCTAGCAAGCAGCCCTGTTTGTACTGTTGTTGGGTGGGATTCGAGTGGTGTTTGGGGCCTGTTGTGTTGCACCGGATTGGTTTGGAAGCTGCTTTGGCAGCGGTGGCGGCAGGGGAATGTTTTGTGGGAGATTGTCTCGCCAGGGGTTCAAGAAGGACCATGTTGCTCCATGGGTCAAGGGGTCTCAGCCTTGGGAATTTCAAGCCTAGGAAGAAAGGCCCTGCCTTCTTTTGGGTCCCCTATGAAAGTTTTATTTTAACAATGGGGCCAACAAACATATGCAGTGCACTTTATGGGTCTTATCCTTCAGGATAAGCGGGTGGCCCACCTGGCCGTCTTGAGAAAGGTCACAGCTTAAATCCCCAGCAGTCTCTAGCTGAAAAGCCAGCACAGCCCAGAAATACCCACGCTGGAGGTACAGAGAGCTGGCGGCCAGCAGGGGCAAAAGACGTACATATATGCAAGCGGAACGGACTATCCATCTGGCTAAGCCTAGGAGAGCTTTGCAGGGTTCTTTACTCTTTGGAGAAAGGGCCACATGGCTGAGCGGCAGAACAGACACTTTGACAGCCTTCTTTAGGGAATCGGGCTGAGATTTTTTGGAGAGCTTCCATCCTGTCACCATTGACACGCTTGGCCTACATGGGAATCGTCAAAACCAAGCCTATAAGGGAGTATATGTGTTAAGACCATTCTGGAGTAGAACTGCTGTGGTAATTGAAATAAAACACTGGAGTTCGTTTTTGTCAATTTCTGCCATTCCAGAGCAAGAAAAATGACAGGGAGGGAGGGAGGAAAGAAGGAAGGAAGGAAGGACTTCATTCCATTTATCTTTAATGATGATCAATATTATTAATATTCATTTGCTTTGATTTATCTCTCACATTTCTCCCAGTTAGGGACTGAAAGCAACATCCATAGCATTTCTGTCATGATCTGTTCAAGATGCCCAGAGAGTGATGTGTGTAGGCCGGGTACTAAGGACTCACTGTGACAAGAGTAGACCTGTTGAATCACGGAGATTTACATACATGTTGATTTGCCTTTGAGTCAACTCGTCTACCTATTGGGACTTGCAATTTGCTTGGTGCCTCAGTGAGTCTTCTGTTTTAGCCTTCGGAGATCCCTGCAAGGGTTCAAGGTTAAACAGAGAGAGGGAGGGTGTGTGTGCCTTGCCCCCAAGTCACCTTTTCTCGTGAATACCTCAAACGAAAATAGAAACAGAAGAATTGTTGCAGCTCGGAGACTAACAGATGAAATTGCAGGGTGAGCTGCCATGGATAATGGTCCACTTCCTCAGAGACGCATGGAGGGTAACAGGGAAGCCATAGCTTTATATATACCAAGGGCAAGATGGAAGGATGGGAAAAGGAGGATGACGGTTACAACCTTGGTAATGAGGTTTCACAAGGATAGTCCCATCATGAACACCAAGGAATGATCAGTCAAGGTGGTGGTTTCGTTGACGTGACCCATCAGATGTTTTTGTTTTTTTTGTTTTTGTTTTTGTTTTTTTGGGAAATGGTGCTGAGGTTATTGTTCCGCCAGAGAGAAGAATGTTTTGATCATAGCATCTCCAAGACGGCGGGTGAATCCAGGGTGTTCGTTCTTTCTTTGCGCCAAAAACTCCACTGTACAATCAATGCAGATATCAAATCACTTTCGCCCAACATAAGGCAACGTCTAGAGACCATTTGAGGCAGCCAGCTTCAGGTCTTCCATGCCTCGGGTTGAGGGGGCACCGAGTATACACTCCTAGGGGTGTGGCATCGCCTCTTCTTCTCCGCCCTCGCAAAGGGCTTTTCGGGTTCAAGACACACATCTTCTGAGGTTGATGTCAGTTCTGCCAAGTCCAGCCTGTAACCTATGAAGTGACTTCCCCGTGTGGCCAGGTGGCTCAGCTTTCCTGGGCTTCCATCCATTGTCAAAGGTGGATAAATCTTTCTTTCTTCCCTTGTTTTAGTCCTGGCAACCTCTGTTGTTTGAGATTTGCAGATGTTATTGAAAAAATAATCTTTATTTCAATCTGGATGGTTCAGATGAGAGCCAAAGAGTGGAGGCGCATTTGATGCCTAGATGCATTGAGTCTTTCACTGCTAGCTATGAAACCTTGCTCCGTATGCCTCTGGGAGCAGTGCCTGCTATGTAGCTGATTTTATCAACCAGGGTTGGCTTCAGGCATATAATAATCTTGATTTCAATCTGGATGGTTCAGATGGTAGCCAAAGAGTGGAGGCGCATTTGATGCCTAGATGCATTGAGTCTTTCACTGCTAGCTGTGAAACCTTGCTCCGTATGCCTCTGGGAGCAGTGCCTGCTATGTAGCTGATTTTATCAACCAGGGTTGGCTTCAGGCATCCAGTGATGATTTTAACAGCTTTCATTGAGTGCTGTGTCTTACCTGTTTGCACGGTCTGAACTGTACCGCACCAAGCCAGCAGATCCTCCTCCGGAGTAGCATCGGGATGTAGTTCCCGATGTCTCTGGTTGTGTGCCCCAACTGGTTCCTGAGACTCCGGAGTAGCAGAGGGCCAAGGCTGGATGTATTTCCCGATGTTTCTGGTTGTGTGCCCCAACTGGTTCCTGAGAGCTTTAGAAGAATATTGTTCATTCCCTAGACATTTTGCTTCCTCTTTTGGTTGTGTTTCGTATAGGTCAGCGTACAATCCAAAGTAACACTTAGGTTTTTGGAGGTAACACAGTGATCTAGCTGGGAATACCCTTCCAGGTAACCTGAAGGTTTTTGAGATAAACTTTGAGTGACCAAAGAACTGGCACTTTAGCAAGACCGAGGCACAACCATCTGTAGCAATAACAACAGATGCCAGTTTAACAGAATGTGTGCTTGCTGGCAAAGAAGAGAAATAGGTGCACTTTGGTCTCCTTGAGAGAGAGAACAGATTATAAATCAAGGAGAAATGCTGGCAGGCATCAAAGCTTTGAGAGCTTCCAAACCCTTCATGGTGGAGAAACCGATAACAGGCAATTCCACCACAATGCATTACATAAACAAAGAGAATTAAACCCATTTGGTGGCTCTCTTGCTCTTGGCAACTTACCTGTAGGAATGATGTACTGAGAAAGACATGCTTACGTTTTTTCCAGCAAGGACAATCGGACTGCAGGGTCCTTTAGCAGGAATCCGATGCAGATTCATGAAGGGGAGCTGTCAGACAAAATTTGCAAACCTGTAACACTGACGTGGGGGTTGCCACTGATAGTTCCTTTTGCTACCCCCCAAAAAATGAAATTCGGCTCTTGGGCAGAGAAGGGAGAAATCTGCACAAATTTTGCCAGGACACCATGATGCCTTTCCCCCCCTTTCTTTCCCTTAATTTGCTGGACCGTTGTGAAAATCACACCGGAGGGTACTGGTGCAATCCTTCAAATCCCTCATTGCACCCAACAGCTGTAGTTCGTGGCCCTGCTTCGAATGGCTACGGACAGTCCTCCAATGGACAAGTCTGTGACCGAGACATGGAAATCTGAAAACTGACAGCATGGAAAATTCTCCCTCATTTGCAAGGGTTCTTAGGGAGTCTAGAAAGAAATCCACTGCGGATTGTTTTGACTGAGAAACGAATCAGTGTGAACCAATGATTCGTGCCCACTTCTACTACAAGTGAAGCAATTTGAGTTTGCACAATTTATTAATGAGCCATGTTTCCCCACAACACTGCACTATGCTCTTCCCTTTTTATTGCGCCTCCAAGAGAAAGCTCTTTCGCAAACTTCCATACGAGTTGATTCATCTTTTCTTGTGTCGGACCAACCAGAAGGTGCTAACTCTTCAACACTTTTTACAAGTGCCACAGTAAAAGGATTTAGGTTGAATATGGTTGAACAATATCTATCCAGACTTAACTATTGACACCTTAGTGGTCCTTTGTCAGTGGTTTCAACCCTATTGGCAAAACCTTCATTTCAACCCATAGCTTCGTCCCAGAATCATAGACTCATTGAGTTTAGAAGGGGCCTATAAGGTGATCAAGTCCTATTCCCTGCTCCTTGCTTACAAACCTTCATTTCTGATAGCCACAACTTTGGCCATGTGTCCACATGAGCTTATTGAGACCAAATTTACTCGCAGTTATCCAAAGATAAGGTGACTTTGTTCACAGACATGTCTTTTCTTACCTAAGGTGTTGTTGAGTTTTCCTGTGAATCGAACATTAGTATTAGCCAAATTTTTCCCAGCTCCTGTGTCCACCTTGGAAAAGATACTTTATTTGTTTTAACTATATTTACCCCATCTTTCTCCTTCAGAGAATCCAAGGCAGCTTACATCAATTAAAGGCAGTATTTTAAAAGCTAATAACAGTGAGTATACAAATATATAC